TTTTATCTGATTTATATTGACCGAGTTCCCAAAAGTCAAGACGGTCCACATCCAAAACCAATCAGAATTCATTGACGCCAGCTCGACCCAGATATCTCAAAGAAGCCACTTTGACAGACACGTCAAATTGTCCACAAGACACATGCAAGTCGAAGTGCCAGTCAATCCAATTATTTATTGTAATTAGGCCATGCGCGGTCATAATTATTATTGGGCCATGCACGGTCATTTGATTAGTTACATGTGTATTGTGAAAGCCCATTAGATATACCGGCCCATGTTAGCCCAAATATAAAGATATATAAATATGGGCTAGAGGATAAGTCTGAGGGAGGCATTTTTTGAACTTTTTCTCCTTTATCTGCAACAGAAGGAGGCACCGGCTCAAGGCTTTTTTCTCTTGATCCTATGTGCAGAGATACCATCTTCTTCAAGATTTTTACTCAATTCTTTTTAATTTTCTTTCATTAATTTCACAACAAAATACATAGAAATTCGCCGAGATATACAATTCTCCGAATACCCCATGTTGTTACAATTTCGTATAACAACACGTATTTTTCGATTTGAACTTGCATGGTAGGATTATTTGTAGATAGAATCATACAAGAATAAAGTTCTAATTAAACAAGACTATTAAATAAATAAATAATTAAAAAAAAAAATAGATTTTCTTGTTTTTCTAGACATTGAAAAATTACCTTTAATAAATTATAAATTGCATTAAAGAGAAAATAAAATTCATATTACAACAAAGAATATTTATTCTCACACAACTGTTCTGATCGAATATCATAAGAAAACAAATAAAATATTTGGGGCCTCAAATTTCTGTATATATTTTGCTATTGCTCATTCATTAATTAGCTTTTTCATTTGTGTAATGGGCCAATTTCTATTTAGTTATTAGTTCTTTTATTTGTGTAAATAAACAAAACCAAACATAAATACATAAAACATTTAAAAAAAAAAAAAAATTGAGGCCCCTAATAATGAGAGGCCCTAGACATGGGCCTAAGGTGCCTCCCCCTAAAGCCGGCACTGCTTGTTCATGATATTTGTTGTCGATTTTTTTGACATTTGTTTTGTTCGTTGGATATGAGCACAGAGCCCAGCAGCACCTCTGTCCGCTTCTCTTAATTAGATAACAGGCTGCTTCAAAGTTGTCTGCTTTTGGTTTCAAACTATATATCAATCAGGAGTACTATTGGCTTTGTTCCTCCTGCCCCGCCCAAGGAATACAGAAATCAATGCTCAAAAGTGTCATCAAAGTTCATTGCCGAACAAATTGTTTTCTGTATCGGCATTTAACAAACTATAAGAATAACTAGTATTCGACCCTGTGCATTTGCACATATGTAAATAAAGTATTGTGAGTTATTTGTATGCATATAATGATTAATAATTTTTTTTCTTTAATTTTTTGGCTGGCCAAATTTACAATTAAAGGAGTTAGAATATTTATTTTTTAAATTACGTTTATCTTATTGGATGTAATGTACATCTTTTTTTGTGAATTATTCATTTTTTATTTAGGAATTTTAAATACGTTTTTTATTTAAAAAAATAATTTAAATGTAACCACAATAATAACATTTAATCACTTTATACGGTTAACACATTAGATGGGTAACTGTAAGTAATCAAAAGTTTTAAAATGATTTTTGTAATTTTGAAGTGATTAGTGTTGATTATTTAATGATTAAATGAAATATTAAATACATCAAAAGTAACAGTTTTTGGAGGGAAAATGGTTAAATTGCCACGTAGGTAAAATTAAATAGGTTTTATTGAATGCTATTAGCTAGTAATTATATATATATAAATTTTTGGCATCTTCACAAGGCAATTAATTAACACACACTAAGAATAATTATGGCATATATATTCTTGATCTCATCAATCAAGGAGTTAGTGTAATACACAAGGATTATTAATGTCTGTGCTCTATCATTGGTCCTATATATAGTGGAAATTATTAACATTATTTCATGTCAGCTGATTATTCTCTGTTGGTAGGGTAGGGTGGTAATTAATTAAACAATTATTAACAAGAGATTATCTGTAATAATCATAGATTTCTATTTATTATATAAAAGTGGTGAACACGTAGTAATTCCCAAATGTGTAAGGTGATAGTCTTTATCCTACATGCAATTAGTCAGCGCATGATAGAGACTACCATAAGTTTTTAACTCAAAAAATATGGCCTAATTAGTATATTAAGTTTAATTAGTATATTAACTCAAATAACCTTAGATTATGTAATGTTAATTGCAATTTATGTATTTAGTTATTTTTCCCTTTTTTTCTGACTTAGTAATTATAAAGTAAACTAGTGGAAGTAACTAGCACACATCACCTATGCAACATATATAGGCACAATAGACTAAATTGTTAATAATCTCATCAATTATTAGAAGTTAATCTAACAAATCAAATTTGTTAACAAAATGTTGTAACGTAAGCATTTATGTTATTATATGTTATAAATGCCCAAGATGAGTTGCTAGGATACTCAATTAGCTTTAATCACATTGTGAATCCATTATAAGTATCGTTTAGCAAATAAAACCAAGCTATTATTGTTATATCGGGCAATTCTCATTTTTCTATTCAAACCAAACTATAATTGTGCAATTGTATTTTCTCAACAATCATTCATACTTTCGAATTGAAATTTTATACTAAAAAATACAATATAAACAAAAGATTGACATTTCATAGTATAAGTGTAATACATTGTTTTACAAAGTATGATTAGTCGATCCGACTAATAATTAGACTACCTCAAAAAGCATTTTTGTTAAAATCCAACAAACACCAATACCAATCATACAATTAACTTGAAGCAATGAAGCTAGTGGAGTGTGTCTTGAAGGGAGAGCTTTGCCGCCCTTGTGGTCCTACCCGGCTCGATTCCGGATTAGTCGGTTCTCCTGTAGATCCGGAAACCGGAAGGTCCCTGTACCAAAAAAAAAAAGAAAATAACAAATCAAATCTCAGATTAAGTAAATACATTTAAGCTTAATTATATTGCTGTATTCGATTCTTTTGGTATGGTTTGTTTGGTATCAAATATGATAGCTAGTTAATAATAATAAAAACTAGAAAGTATATGTGGAAGCATGAATGACTTGTGGCATAACATTTGTAATTAGTTTCTACAACGTACAATATAGATCAGAATTTAATAGAAGCCTGTAGAAAAAAAAAATATCATAAACAATATGGTAGAGATAAGATTATGATCATAGGATATGTGTACTGAGCATGTAGGATGTTAGAGAAACATGTACAAATTTGAGAGTGAATGCTTATAAATGACTGTATGTAGAAGAATACCGTTGTTTAAATAATTTTTTTATTTATAGTATTATTTATTTAAAAAAAATCTTTTTTTAGGAAAATAATAAAATATATTCTGGGGACGAAACATGACCAAACCGGTCCCAAAAACCATCAAGAACCTCGTCCAAAAAATTAGCTCGTAAAACTAATCCAAAAAATTAAGTAACAAAGCGAATTTGGCTCCTAGGAGAAAAATTAAAAGTCACAAGTTTTTTCACATTGAAATTAATGTTAAATATTAGGAGATTTAATCGGGTCGATTATGTCAGTCTATATCATAACGAATATACCGTATCTTTATCGACACTGTTTTTACTGTGTTCTTTTAAAATATGAGATTTAGTCATTCAATTATAAAAGTATATAAATATGTTGAATAAATATGTTAATATGAAATAAAAATACTAAATTATAATATGAGATTTAGTCATTCAATTATAAAAGTATATAAATATGTTGAATAAATTTGTTAATATGAAATAAAAATACTAACTTATAATATGAGATTTAGTCATTCAAATATAAAAGTATATAAATATGTTGAATAAATATGTTAATATGAAATAAAAATACTAAATTATGTTGACATATACGCACAATATACTAAATTATTAATCTTATCAATTATTAGAAGCTAGTCTAATAAATCAAATTTGTTAACAAAATGTTGTAATGTAAGCATTTATATTATAAACCCCAAAGAGTTGCTTGAATACTCAATTGGCTTTAATCACATTGTGAATCCATTATTAGTATCGTTTAGCAAATAAAACCAAGCAATTACTATAGCTGACAATTCTCATTTTTCTAAACCGACCTATCAGTTGCGCAATTATACTTTCTCAACAAATATTTTATATTCCAAAACTGAAAATTCATATTAAAAAAGAAAAGTAATATAAACAAAAAAATGACATCTCTTAATATAAGTATGCATTTTTTTGCTAAGAAATATGACTGAGTCAAGCCGATTAATAACTAAACTAGTCGAGCCGATTAATGACATACAAAACATTTCTTGTTGAAATCACACCAAACTCCAATAACAATCATACAATGAACTTGAAACTAGTGGAGTGTCTTCAAACAGTTGAAATAATAATAATAATAATAATAATAATAATAATAATAATAATAATAATAATAATAATAATAATAATAATAATAATAATAATCACTTGCAGGTTTAATACCCAGCAAGATTGGTAGCTTTATATTTCAAACACTCCTACTTCCAGCCTATGTACACTTTATTTCACATAATGTAACTTTATATTTATTTCCACTAACTTTTACACAAAAACAGTGCTGAGAGTTGGGAATTAAGTGGAACACTAGACACTAGCAAATGTCAAACAAAATAGTCATTAAACTAAATCAGACCATGACACCGTTCATTAATTAATGTCTTACTCAGATTCCCACCTTAATGCAATCAGCAAACAAAATCCAGCTTCTCTTTTTCTTCAGAGGACTTCCATTACAAGTGTTTGCTCAATCCCACACACATTTATGACTTGCTAGCAACCACTAACAAACCACTTCTATTGTCATTGCTCTATATATATAAATGTGGCCACCTAAAAAACAAGAAGCTAAATTTGAGTGACTCCATAGGTAATAACAAAAGGGAAAGCATAAAAAAAAAAATGGACGAAGAACACCAAGGGCTCGTGAAGAAGCCCGGTGGCCCAGTCGAGAACAACCTGCAGCTGACGGTGGATGAAGTTGTGGAAGAATATGTGGGCCCCTTTGGGTTTTCGCAGCTTATGCAGGTTTTCTTAGTGTCGCTGGCTCGGATTTTCGACTCCCAATGCACGCTCGTCACCATCTTCACCGATGCTCAGCCCGAGTCCTGGCAGTGTACTGGGCCGGGCTGTATCGGTGGTGGAAAAGCTTCGGAAGTTTGCGTGATGAAGCCCGGGACTTGGGAATGGAGCGGTGAGAATACGAGCTCGACGATTGCTGAGTGGGGATTGGTTTGCGACCGTAGATTTCTAGCTGCTCTCCCCACGTCGGTCTACTTTCTCGGTTCGCTTATAGGTTGGGCCAATTCAAAGGCTTTTTTTTTTTACCCCATGAATTTGGCATAATTGCAGGATAAATAGTTCCAAATTCCAGTAGTACAGCATGAACAAGACATGGTTCATCCCTGTTTAGCTGCAAAAGGAACTAACTTCTTTTTGAATTGCAAAATGAATACTTGTGTGCAAAAACTCCCAAGGTTTTGGACAATTAGTAAAGAAAAACTTGGGATATTCAAAGTTACAAATGGGATTTACTGTATAAACCCAGAATATCACAAGATACATATCTCATTGAGATTTGTATGTAGTTGTAGAATAAGGTGTAATCCATAAAACAGAAGGGATGTTTTGCAAATTCTGAATAAGTAAAAATACATACAAAGTTTGATACTTTCCTGATAACAGCTAATGGTTCTACATATTAGAGTAACAAAATATGCCTTTCACTTGAGTTATCATAAACAAAATGATGAAAACTTACCTTTGTTTCCCCTGCTTTGAAGTTATAACTAATAAGGAACCACTTATTTGGCAACAGGTTCTGCGCTCTTCGGCCGCCTGGCCGACTCGTTCTTAGGAAGGAAAAGATCTGTTCTACTTTCGTGCCTTCTAACCTCCGTCACCATTTTCCTCACCTCACTCTCGCCGAATATATG